GTCCAGAAAAGTTGCATGGAATATGTCCTGTAAGGTTGTTGTTTGAAAAGTTCCTGCATAACAACAATGGTTGAAGCTCGAAATGAATATATACGTCTCGTTTAGCGAAACTATATATCCAAACTCGAATACTCACAATAGTGGAAAGGTTGGGATATTGGTCAATTCCGAAGGTATTTCGCCACTCAATGTGTTGTAACTCAGATACCTATCCATGTAAATTAAATTAATAATTATAATCAATAATGATTTTCCATGTGAATGTAAGATCAAGTACAAGGTTTTTAAATTCTGCAGTTGGCCCAATGTCGACGGAATGTTGCCTGTGAGGCTGTTGAATGATAAGGATCTGTCACAAATGATCAATTATAGAAAATATATATAATTAGTGTTTCAGACAATGTAAAGTAAGGACTAGAAATTTGTATATCTAAATATTTGGGTCGACGAGAAAATAACATACAAGGATTCTAAGTTAATCAAGTTGCCCAACTCAGATGGAATGGTCCCGTACAGGTGGTTTGAAAGAAGGTACAATTCAGTCAAACCGACAAGCGTTCCGAAGCTACTGGGTATTGGACCACTAATTTTAGTATCAGATATCATCCTATCATAATAAACCAATCAATAGAAATAATGTTAGATCAAATAAGATTAATCTGATCAAAGAGCACTCACCATTAATGTAAAATTGCAGCAAATGACAACAAATGATGATGAATATACATTTTAATCCACATCAATTAAGTACATTGAGAAATCAAGTAAATTTAGTAATGTGAGGAGACTAAGGCAATTATTTTATAGGTACAAAACGTAATGAATGCCACATACAGATGCTGCAGGTGAGTTAAGTTGGCAAGCCCGTCGGTGAAGTCGGCAAGAACACCTTCTAACTCCTTACAATTACTAGTAAGATAGCTAGTGACAGAAAGAAATTTGATGAATTTAAAATACGATTACAACTTCATTTAGAAACTAAATCATAACATTATGAAAATGAGTGAGAAATAATAATACTACTCTTACATGCCATCAACAAAACCTGATTTGTCGCAGACGATGTTCGACCAATTGCAATGGTTGTCGGTTAGGCCCCATTTTGGCATACAATTTTCAGTTCCGCTTAATCGGTTTCTTATGTCCATTAAAGCGTGAGCTGTCAATCAAAACAAAAGTTGTAATCGTGCTCGATAATCACATTAACAAGCATAAACAAAATGAAATATGATCTCGACAATAAAGAATGACAATCGACAAACCTTCACTATTATACATGTTATCAGCATAAATACTGCTTAGAGGTTGCAGCATTAAGATTAATAAGACAAACACATTAAATACTTTTTCCATATTTTGTACCTTCACAATACACACAAACAAACAACAAAAAAACGAGATAAGTTTAAAACTCGATCGGGTATGAACGAGTCTTTCATGTCTTCTTTCCCCACCACTTTTATAGGCCAATTTGTGGTTGGAGTTATCATTCTCTGCTAAATTTTCAAGATAAATGATTATCAAAGATTTTTCTTTTCTTTTTCTTTTAAAGAAATCTCTCTTTGTCAGAGTACAAAATTCTTACTCAAATATTAGATACTTTATTTTTCTTTATGAAATCGTTATTATATAAATTTGTCTTTGACAAAATATAACACTGGTACTATACCTAAACATTTATATTTGACTTAAGTTACTAGGTCACGTTAGCATAAATCGTTTGCAATCAAATGGCAACACAAATTTCATTATTAAATTAACGGATGCAACTCAACTAATAAAGGATAATCCACGAAAAAATCTTTATATATATAAAGGACATTTGCTTAATATAGTAACTATAATTTTAATCCTAAATTTATGATTTACTATATATGTAAGTTTCGGAAAATGTTGAAATTTTGATCACAAATCCAATTAAATATAAACTTTTTATGAAATTGGGGGATATGATTGTGGGTTGTGTCGTGTAAACTGTAAATGTAATTTATTTCTTGTACAATTCTATTATTAATTTATTATAGTATACAATTATACATAAGATACTAAGTATTGCATTATTTATATTATTTTATAAATATTTTGTGTAAAATGATTATCATAAATATTTTCTCACTCGATATTAATAAATTGGATACTTATTTATGTTTAATTCAAAAATTATACAAATAAAAAAATCTTAATTACTTGATAAATGGTACAAAGTGCAAACCTTTCTTAATTTTAAAAGATATTCATCAAATAATAATAAGTATAAGTGGTTAAAATATTTTTAATTCATAAAAAGAGTGATAAATATCTTTTAATTGCAAAATATCATTAACTCAAAATATAATTTAATTTGAAAGATTTCTATGCAAATCGTTTGTATGTAAAAAAAAAAAAAAAAACGACAAATGATAATACAAACCCATAAACAATAATCATTTAGAATTTTGAAGATAGTTACTTGTTAAATAAAAGAATATTTTAGAAATATATTATTTCCAAACAAATTATTATCTTTCGAGTTTCGATATTGTGAGACACGCATATGCCATTTAGTATAGATAAAGTCTGTTTTCAAATAATGAGGATACTTAATCTTGTTAAGTTATAATTTGGTGATTTATTGATAAAATAATCAGTATATCTATTCTTAATCCAATATTATGTTAAAAACATTATCAATTTATTTTATGTAAAAATATATCATCTTTAAATAAATAATTTTCTTCAAATTTTTTGAAAGATTTACTTTATAAAAGCTGGTTTCCAAACATTCAATATTTGTATTTACCTAAGTTATAATTAATGATAATCTGACACGTTGGTTACAAAATTTTGTGATAGGAAAAGTATATTCATTTCATTTTCTTTTCAAAACAAAGATTTGAAAATGAGATCTAATACTTAATAATGCCTCATATGCCGAATGCAGTATAGAAAAAAAATATTTATTTTTAATCATTAAATTCTGTTAACATTCAGTAGTAGAGGCGTACTTGCAATTCAATTTTAAATATAGTTTATCATAAATTTATCGACAATTGTACATAGACATAATGTATATGAATTTTATTTGCAATTCAATTTTAAATACGATTATGCAGAAAGATAAAAAATAAAGTACAAGATAAAATATGATATGTAATATGTATATGTAATATGGATTTTATGAATTGAAATCGGTTCTTCAGTTTGATACGGTTATTTTTGGTTCGGTGCGATTCTCGGTACGGGTATTATATGAATTTTCAAAACCGTACCAAAGAAAAAATTTGGTACGGTTCAGTTTGGAGATAGTCAAACGGTCAACGAATATTTTATGGTTCGGGATGAATTTAGTTCGATTTTCAGTATGGTTCGGTAATCTCCAAGACCCGTACTCAGCCCTAGTGTAAGCTTAATCGGTCCATTTATGGACTGAAGCAAGCTTCAAGATCTTGGAACATCCGTTTTGATGAGGTGATCTAGTCGTACGGGTTCACTCAATTTCCGTATGGGCACTGTGTACAAGAAGCACAGTGGGAGCGAGATGGTGTTTCTTGTGTTTTATGTAAATGACATACTTCTTATTAGAAACAATATGAAATAGTTGTCAGACGTAAAGGTGTGGTTGTCTAAATAGTTTGATATGAAGGACTTAGGAGAAGTAGGACACATTCTTGGTATTAAGGTAATTCGACATCATAAGAAGAAGAGCATGTTGTGCTTATCCCAGTCTACATACATAAATACTGTCTTGGCTAGGTTCAGAATGTAGGATTCTAAAAAAAGAGAGTTTCCTTTTAGACATGGAATACCTTTATCCAAGGAGGTGTCTCCTAAGACACCTCAAGAGACAAAGGACATGAAAACAGTTCCTTATGCTTCGACAGTAGGAAGTCTCATGTATGCTATGTTGTGTACGAGGTTGGATATTAGCTACAGTGTTGGCAAGGTAGCTAGATATGAAAGTAATTAAGGACAGGGACATTGGTTTGAGGTAAAGCATATACTCAAGCACCTGATAAGGACTAAGGGGTACAAGTTAGTTGAACGTGCAAACAGCTTGTTACCACTGGTTTAGAGCGATTTCAATTTACAGTCAGACCAGGATGAGAGTAAGTCAACCTCAAGTTATGTGTCTACTTTGGGAGGTTGACCCACTTCATTGAGTGCTAATAACAAATGTGTAGTAGACTCTACTATGGAACACGAGTACATCGTGGCCTCTGAGGAAGCAGAAGAGGCAGTTTGGCTCAGGAACTTCTTGGTGGACTTAGAGGTGATTCTGATTTTGGAACGGAGTATCACAGTCTACTGTGATAACAACGGTGTAGTAGAAAACTCAAGGGAACCACGAGCCCACAGAGCAAGCAAGAACATAGAGCGCAAATACCACCTGATACGAGATATCGTAGGAAGAGGAGACGTCGAGGTTTCCAAGATTGCATCAAGGGACAACCTAGCTGACCCTTTCACGAAGAGTTTGTCCCGGAAGATCTTCGTAAAACACGTAGAAGGAATGGGAGTCAGATGCATGGCCACATGATCAACATAGGTCTTTTAGAATAACAGATTAATAGGACTATACTTGTAAAAACGGAAGCTTTAAGTATTAGTGGGAGATTGTTGGTGTTATATACTACTAAAAGCTTAGCTTTGGGTGATGTTACACTTTATCTTTGTTGAATGAGAATCATGTTTGATTAAACGAGTTATATGTTCTATTGTTTTGAATTTACATAAAATAGTTCATTAACGTGTGAACAGAAAATCATTTTGTCGTTCACTTGCGAAACAAGAATTGTTGGTTCACAACCTAGATGGAAATGAACAAACCACCGGAACGGTTGTAGGGTCAACGGTACAGTTGGTCTTGAATGATTAATTGCACTAGTACATTTATGTTTTGGACAGAATTCCGGAGAGTAGTAGTTTGTTTTATACTAATCATCGTAAACAAACTTAGTCTCGGTTAATTACTACGTTCTCTTAACCCATAAGATACAAGCAGGCATGAATGTGCAGTAACTATTACTTTGATTCACTGTAGGTGAGATTCATTCTGGTGGATTAATATTCCTGATGTTTTGGGTAATATTGTTGTTTGTAAGATGTACTGAATATTTACGGTTACCATGTGCGTCAGTTTGATGATGTCCTCGAGGTGAGTTCATGAACAATTGTTGTGCTAAATCCTGCAGGTGGATAAGTTCTGGTAAAATAATAATGTGATGAACGAGCGCTAGCTCTGTTTTACAAGATAATATATAATTCATGATTGTCAGTAATCGAATTAATTAATGGACACTATATCTTAAACATGGGTAGGTAATTCAAGTAATTATATTTTGGGTCTCGAATACAATTTTTAGGATTATAAAGGAGTTCAATAATGTTTATATTCAAGTATTGGCGGGAGTGGACTTGGCTCACAGTTAGGCCAATACCTAAGTAGCCCTAATCATCATCTCTTTAGGATCTCTACAACAGCTGTATTAATACATCATTAAGCTCATCGGGCTGCGGTACATGAGTTCTAATGTGAAAGACATTAGCCACCCATTATCTCTCTCTCTCTCTCTCTCTCTCTCTCTCTCTCTCTCTTGTTCCCATAAGTCAAGCTTTATCTTCGTCTTTTCTTTCCACCAATACAATTTGAAGAGTTGTTCGAGATATACAATAAAAGATCCTGAGGTATCGATAACTCGTGATCATCATCTGAAAATCCACCTTGTTACCGTCGGCCACCCGTCCACCGCCGACAGCCACAGCCTATACGCAGCCGACACCACCTCGGGACGCCGCAGCCCACTGCACACAAGTCATAGCTCGACGATGCAGCCCACACGCAAGCTACGACGTTCCCACAGCCCGGTGACCCCACGCGCAGCCCGACGACGCCGCAGCCCCGCCACGATTGCGCAACAACCCCGTGAACCGCCAACAACCACTCGGCGCATGAGCTTCTCCTGTCC